ATTAAATAAATAAAAATGTATAACAATAATTAAATAAAATGTTATTATTTTCAAAAATATACGTGTAACCTGTAACAGACACATAGTATATATATCTATTTCTATTTATGTAGTTAAAAATGCTATATTTATTTATTTCAATATTAATAAGAGTAATACATGGAAAATATAAAAATCATAACAAATAATAATAATAATTATAATTACAATAATAAATGGTAAATTTAAGAATAAACATTTTATGATACAAAAAAATATATATATAATAAATAAAAAATAAAACTCTCCGCCAATTTTTAAACTCTTAAATGATTTTGTAGGTCTTAAATAATTTTAAACAGGTCCTAAATGAAAAATAAATAAATATTTAAATAAAAACATAATAAAATTAAATGCATAAAAATAAAATGAAATGAAGATTTTTTTTATAAATAAATAAATTGTTAAAAATTAATAAAAATAATTAAATAAATTGTGGTTATTTAAAAAAATATATGTGTAACCTTTAAAAGATTCCATTTTATATATATTTTAAATTTATGTATTTCTATTTAATTTGTAAAAAATGTCTTTTGTATTTAGCCCACTGTATTTGTTTATATTCAATAAAAATTACAATTTTATTATTCAATAATAATAATAATAATAATAATAATAATTAATGGAAAACATAAGAGTCTCAATTGTCTGAATCAATGATACATAAAACATAAAGTAAAGTAAAAGAAATAGTAAAATAAAATCAATAAACAAATAAAATTAAAAATAAAAGTTAATAAAAATAATAAAATTAAAATTAAAAATAGCATGAAATTTATTTAAATAAATAAATAAATAAATTAATTAATAAATATATAATAAAATAAAATACATAAATAAATAAAACATAAATAAAAATAAGATAAAATTAATAAATAATAAATAAAATAAATAAATAAATAAAAATAATTTAATAAAATGTGGTTATTTTCAAAAAGATATGTGTAACCTATAACGGATTCTCTAATATGTTTTGTCACTTGGTAAATGTATTTGTAATTTTATTTGTATTTCTAAACATATTTGTGTGTTATGTATTTACATGTTTATTTAGTAAATAATGTCTTTTCTCTTTGGGCTACTGTTGAATATATGTCTGGCAAGAGTGTCTGACGAAAGGTTACCGGGGATTTAAAATGTGTGTGTGTGTGTGTGTGTGTGTGTGTTTATAGTTAGTAGGCCAAACAAAACTGACCCAAGAGACAAGCATCGTACCCTAAATGTGTTCAACCATCATGAAAATACAAAACTATTCACTTTTTTTCTAATCGTTGCATAATTTTAGAAAAGTTCTCCAAACTTCAAGATGAAAAACAGTGTTTAAGGCTTTTTTTCTGCTCATAAAATCCTCCTTTCTACCCCTTAAGTCACCACAGGGTTAAATCCAGCAGTGTGTTCATGCTAATCTGTCAGTGTTGGTCAGACTCTGGTAGCATTGATTCATTGGCGCTGGTCCCACACATCTTGTTTTTAATTTTCTCAATGTTATATTACAGCGCCTGGGCAAAAACCCCAGTTATTTTTTATTATTATGATATTTTTCCCCCCTCCATCTCACTTCTGTTTTTCAGTTTGGCGAGCTCGCAGGAAGTGATGACGAATTATATTGTATTAATCCCATAAGGGAGTCCCCAGTTCATTATTATTATTATTTTCTCTGCTGCGCTGGTTTTTGCTCTATCCTCGCAGGAGCTCTAACAGGTATACGAGCTTGCATACTTATGTTTTATTAGCTCGAATCCTTGTTTATGCACGATCCAGCAGATATCTTGGAAGGGGAATAGTAATGTAATATGTTTAATGTAATATGTCGAAATGAATTGACATTATAGAAGTCAAAGCAAGTCGTCACAATGCATTTCCAGGAAGAGTCTTGTTGGTGATCTCACACACTCGCTTTTACTTCTGCTGCTTTAAACATTTATTTTTTTGCATTTATGCATTGGATAGTTTATTGTTAATCTGTTTATGCATTCCTCATGGGCAATATTTTTTGTTGAGGCTCAAACAGTAGTGTGTTGGCGTGGGTTTCCTCCGGGTGCTCCTGTTTCCCCTACAGTCCAAACACATGCGCTATAGGATGAACTAAATTAGTCCTATTGTATGAGTGTTGTGTATATGAGTGTGTATGGGTGTTTCCCAGAACTGGGTTGTGGCTGGAAGGGCATCCGCTGTGTAAAACATATGCTGGAATAGTTGGCGGTTCATTCTGCTGTGGCGACCGCTGATAAATAAGGGACTAAGCCGAAGGAAAATGAATGAATGAATGTATGATGAATAATTCGATTACGTATTACGTGACATTTTTAATGGCAAATAAAATATTAGCTATCCAAGCATTAAGCATCTATTGGTATTTTCGTAACACATTTGTAAGCAATACATTTTGCGCTATTTATTTGCTCATAATATATTAACATATAAAAGATAACAAGCACAAAAATGAGTAAATAACAAAGTAGGCAAAATAAAATAATAAAAACAATAATCTATAGATTTTTTTTTACTGTTGCAACTTTATACATCTAATTTAAATATAGCATTTTAAGGCTTACATTAACACAATGCACATGTATGAAAAATGTCATTGTAGTAAATAGAGTAATGATAATATTAATAACAAATGGTAAATTAAAGAATGAACATTTTTATTATAAAAAGTAATAATAAAATAATAATAACAATAAATCATACTTAAGAATCAACTTTTTATGATATAATAATAATAATAATAATAATAATGGTAAATTTAAGAATAAACATTTTATTATTAAAAATAATCATAATAAAATAATAAATCTTTTTTAAGAATCAACATTTTATGATTAAAATAATAATAATAATAATATTTATAAATTAAATTTATCACATTTTATGATAAAAAATTATAGTAATAATAACATTAATGTTATTATTAATAATAATAATAATCGTAATGATCATAATAAATGGTAAATTTGAGAATAAACATTTTATTCTTAATAATAATAATAATAAAACAATAAATCATATTTAAGAATCAACATTTTATGATTAAAATAATAATAATAAAAAATAAATTAATTATAAGAATCAACATTTTAGAATTCAATAATAATAATAATAATAATTAAAAAAAATAATACCAATAATAATAATAATAATATTAAATTTAATTTAATTTAATATAAGAATCAACATTTTATAATTCAATAATAATAATAACAATGATAAAATAATAATAATAATAATAATAATAATAATAATAATAATAATAAATTAAAAATAATAATCAACATTTTAGGATTGAAATAATAATAATAATAATAATAATAATAATAATAATAATAAATTAAATATAAGAATCAAAGTTTTATAATTCAATAATAGTAATAATAATAATAATAATAATAATAACAATAATAATAATAATAAGCATAATAAGCATAATAAGAATAATAATGATAAATAATACATCAGAACAGATATTTCATGTGTCTGCATGGTTGCAGCGACTCAAAATAAGCAGTTTTGTGATATTGTGTGACTCTAATAATGTTTAAAGCTGTCGTCCAGTGGTCTGTTGTTTAGTCACAGGCGCCAGCCGCTCTCCGCCCGTCCTGCACACACACTGCAGCCTTTCACACACTGCGCAAACACAGAGCAGTGCATGCTGGGAAGGGCCCGTCCCGCTCACAGGGCCACTGTGTTCATGTTTGCTCCAGTCAGCCGGCTGGAGTTTGGCTATTTTCAGTAGTTTCCCTGAACTGTGAGGAAAAGGTGATCAGTGTGTGTGTGTTTGTGTTTGCTCTGTGGCTGTGTTTCATCCACACACACACACCTGGTTGCAGTGGGTGTGTGATCAGTGTCATGTGTTCTCCATCAGACACATTATTTTCTTCACTTCGGCTCGTTTGCTGCAAAACCTGAGCTCAAAGTTGGCTGTAAAAGCTTTAAACTCCGCCACGGGTTTGAGCTCGGGGACTCTTAAAGCAGCATTCAGGAGTCACGCTTTTACTGGGGCAAAACGCTATAAATTTCCGTTTTATTTGCGTTCAATATAGCTTTATTATACACAGTTTTGAGGGAATTGTGGGATTTTTTGGGACTTTTTTTAGAAGAAACTGACACCACATGATTCAGCTTTTGATGATAAAACATATATATATATATATATATATATATATATATATATATATATATATATATATATATATATATATATATATATATATATATATCTCTGTGTGTGTGAGTGTGAGAGTGAGTCACTCACTCACACAATAACAATATCACAACTTGTAATATAGTAAGAATAAATAAAAAATAATAATAAAAATAAAAAAATAACTCTAAGTAAAATAATATATTTAAAAAGTAAAAAAGGTAACAAAATAAAATTAAATAATTTAATAAAAGAGTAAAAAAAGATAACTAAATTAAAATAATAATAANTCGAGAAATAAAAATAAAATGATAGCTCATAATATGATTGAAAATACACTATATATAACAAAATAATAAAAAAATATTTACTCATAAAATAAAATAGTTACAATTTTTAAGTAAATAACTCTATATCGAAAATCTAAAAAACAAAATAAAATAGTTCAGAAAATAATACTACTACTACTAATAATAATATACTTATAAT